TTGGGACTTCAAGTTAGATGCGGAGTGATTGCGTTGAGTTTGCGGGTACAACTGAAACCTGGACGGGATGAAAGGCGTAGATGCAGGGCCCCAGGAACGTGTTCAATCACACCAAAGTACAGGGTGCGAAAGCTATCTTGCCTGCTGTAGACTGTAGTCGCCATTTTAGCCATTTTAGCCTTGCCTGCCCCGTCTCACACTACAAAAGCCTCCAACCTGAATCCCTGGATCCAAACCCTGAACAAATGCAATCTAGACACCGCAGTGTCCTACAAAGCAAAGCTTGGTTCAGGTGCACCGAGATTATCACCCCATGCTGCTGGGATTGCACTTGAGCATACGAGCTTCAGTTTAGAGTATGGGCTTTGATGCCACGATGTAGCAACATGGGACGATGTAGAAAGAGGGTCTGTTGTCTTGAATGTGCTCGGAGCATCCTCGGAACACTACAGACGCGTATTTCCTGCAGTCGAAGCACGCTACAAGACACTTAGGGAGTAAGATCGGAATTCAATAAACAACATGGCTGAAGGGTTCTCAGGAAGTACACAGGCCCTCAGGCTCAGCCAGGGCATTGACTACCGATACCATGTGGCGTGCCCCTGGAGCTCTGACCTGGGGAGGGACTAGCGGGCGATATGGAAAAGCGGAAACTACTGCTATCATAACATGCGGTCGTTTCCATCTTCCTTGTATGGGCAGAGCTTTCTGTCAAGATACCGCGCCATCCTCTACGAGCGCAACTTCTACGACATTTTTTTCTTGGATCTGGGCGGGAATTGCATCTATTCCGTCTACAAGGACGCCCCTTGCTGTTGACGCCGGCTGGCAGTTCTGCATTACGCCCTAGGGAACATGGGGAAACGCGAGGGGCCGTGTGCGACCAAAACGGGTCCCTAGTCACGGTAGCTCACAATTTGCGGTAAGGCAGCTGTAGCACCATGAATCTCACATCCACGTCTGCCGGCCTTGATTGCGACGAGAGTCAGCAGATGATGCAGGAATCTTCTAGTCCTATGTAGCCCCATTCTAAGCTGCCGGTCGCAGAAAGCATGCTGCAGCCAACGCATATCCGCATTCTGAACGCTGAAGATGTTGTTAATGCTGAACCCACCGATTCACTATTCTTTTCAATGCTGGTCCATCCCCCAAATCTGCCGGGCAATTGAAGTCATGTTTGTTGGTATTAGCGTTGAAGCTGGCATTCATTTTCTTATTTTTCGTACGGGCACTGCCAGTAGCGGATTTGTTATTAGATCAGTCGTCGTCGTGGTCGTCGTGGTCGTCGTGATCGTCGTGGTCGTCGTGGCGGTGGCGGTGG